AAAACTAATGTGAATTTGAATACCAAATGAACTTTGTTCTTTTTTGCTAAAAACACATTTCTGAAACAGCATTCAGGTCTCTACAAATTCGCATTAGTTTTAGTTTTTATCGACATATCTTGAGCCCTAAATAACAAGTTTTCTCAATGTCGTACCTTTCTCACGAAAAGTAGAGTTTTCTGTCGAAACTGACGAGGAAACTACTCCAACTGATCCAGCGCTTTCGATTCCATATTTTGGTCATAGGTAGACCTTGTTGAGACTAAGAAAACTCTAAAAGTGTTTATGCCCATGGCTCTTGAAGATCCGGTTTTATAGTTATAGAATTTACAAGAAAAGCCCTAAATTAATTTCTTATTTCTGTAGCTTTGAGCTGACACGAAAAAATAAAAACCAACAAAAAATGTCGAAATACACATCATTCGACTGAGTTTTCAATGCTGATTCCTAATATGATATTTGTATTGCATACTGGTGAGCTCTGATCCAGAAAATGGAGAAGTACTTCTGATTAAGAAAAAATGAATATTCCGGGTGACAAAACCAAATAGAAAAACCGTGATACCTTCTTTTAAAACTAGTTTGATGGCGGTTCGAATGAAGTATAAAGACCGACTACATCTCTTCGCAACTAGTCAACGTTTTTACTAACACCGGAAAATGAAAATTCTTTTGCTCGCTGCTTCAGCCAAGAATTTTTCTACTGCTCAGACTCAGATGTCTAATAAAACAGTTTTTTAATGTGCGCATTAAACGCAATAGAATGCACGTTGGATAAAATTAATTTAAAGGTTAAAAACTGACTTGTCCAAGTACCTGAAGCAAGTTAAGTAACGATACTTGGCAAGCTCTTGATCAAGTACTTGCCAAGTGCTTAACTTGTCACGTACTTCCCAAGCACTCATCAAGTAATCAAGTACATTCACTAGGATCAATAACGACATTATATGGCTATTGAGAATGCGTCAGTGGGCAGGCTGAATCCACATTTATCTTTATACAATTCCCTAAAAAACATATAACTTATACGAACTTGAAGTTCTAAAATAATCAGTTCCTGTTTAATGGCGCTAACATCACTTCTCTTCCTCTACATTAAGTAAACTTAACGACATTCACGTAGAATTAATAACGTTTTTGCGAGTTGTAATACGTAGGGGTTTTGAACCAGAAATGTTCTTGTTTTCAATATCATCTGTATGTGTATCTCCAGTGCTGTCATCTACTCGTTTTTTCATTAGAATCTAATCCACTAATCGAAAGCGAGCCGTATGACTCATGATCGCTCGCTCGTTAATTTTGAAGTATATGAGTATTTTTGAAACAGAGCATATTTGATACGATTGCTTTCTTGCATTTAGTCATGCACTTCTTCTATATTGTATGCAACATTAGTATATGTTCTGTATATTTAAAGATTGAAGGTTCACTCTAGTCTACATTTTGTCAAACAATGTGTACTGTTACGTGAACATTTTGAAATGTATTTTTTACGCTTTATTCTCTAGTGATCTAACGGTCAGAGGATGCCGTTGCTACGGCCTTAGACGTTTTTTTTCGGCAGTTTTTCTTTGCCTTACATTACATTGCAAAAGACTTGTAATCAATAATTATCCATTCAAAATAAAATTTGAGTTTGGTTTCGTCTAAATGCACTTAGACTATATTAGGGACTTGAATGAATGCAGTATGTGTGCACTTATTCAAATCACTAATACAGTCTAAGTGCATTTAGACGAAACCAAGCTCAAATTTTATTTTGAATGGATAATTATTGATTACAAGTCAATTACATAGTGATATTACTGGCAATCTATGAGAAAATCATCTGAACTAGTAGTACAACCTTTTGATAAATCACAGCCATTGAATTTTTATTTAATTAAAATAATTAAAATCTTTTATTTTAAACATTCTAACGATTTAATTATTTGAACTAAATAAAAATTGAATCGCTGCGATTAATCAAAAACTTGTACTGCTCAATCTTTTGGCTCTTAATGGTTTTGATTTACCTGAACTAGTATTTTTGATAAGATTTCTGAACCAAGTGGAAGAACCATTTTGCTCTAAAATGGGCGAAACGGTATCAATAAAAACTATCGGCGAGAAGCGTTAATGGAACATTTTCCAGGTTACATTCTAAAATTTGAAGCTATCTTAGCATTGTTAATCTGAGTGAAATCTGATCTTTGTAGATTCTGGTGTTGGGAAAAGAATAAAAGAAGCGTTATGCCGTTTTTTCAGAAACAAATTACTGTTAAATAAGTGTAAATTAAAAAAATAAGAAAGTAAAGATTGCGGTCTCGTAGAGACCACTCTCGGTTCGTTCAATACAAAAATTCTTGAATCTAAATCAGTTTTTTTTCGTGTTTATTTTATTTATAATCTGTATATTAACAATTATTAGTCGACGATAATCAATCGGTAACGAATACTTATCGTGCGTGTTGTCAACATACATCCTTTCTTATATTTTGCTCTGTGTTGTGCGGTGAATTATCCTTTCCACTTCCAAATCTTGTTTGTTTTCATTTTACCGTTAGCCAGTCGCTAATATTATTTTTCAGAGTTTGATCATCGTTTTATATCTTCATTTTTCTTTTATTAACGTAATGTGTAAACGATAAAAACTTTGACGTTGTTCAAAGTTTAAAAATTCGTAGAGTATGACCACAATTACAGAATATTTATTTATGTTGAGCACATAATTTTAACTGGTAGCTATTCACTGCATGTCAAACTATTCGGAGTATTGAATATTCTTAAATTGTACAATTGTGACTTCTTAGAGTCATTCTTTTTTTCTTTTACTAAACAATAATTCGAGCGCGATCAAAGCGCCGTAAATGCAACGATGAGATGTTACACTTTTTTTTGATTTACTAGAGATGCTATGGCAAAAGATTTTTGTAGGTTTCTTAAATTATGATGATCATTTTTAATCTCATTTTAGATGTCTTGGTACTGGCATGAATTATCACTGGAAACGTCATCATAGCTCTGAAAGCTTCGAAGAGGATAGTGACAACGTTCAATTAACAGTAAGTTTCATGCATTGAAAAAATATTTCTTTAATTAAGATTTATAAGTCATTGGCTTATTTTTAATTAATTTTTAAAGAACTCTAGGAGTATGCGATGTTCTCAGAAATCTGAAAAAACCATTTTGCTATTAGAAATATGGTTGACATAGAGTCATCACAGAGCAATTTAGAGTCAATGATTTTTGTTTTGCAAGAAAAAACTGCTTGACATATGTTTTTCTACAAGAATTGAAACTTAACTAGAATTATGGTGTCTGCAATGCCTTGCTATCGTAATAACTATTTATCTCAATAATAATTTATTATATGTGCTTATTCTGAAATGTTTACTCATTTTCTCGTTTAATAATGAATATCCATGAAGTATAGACATTTCTTGATGGAATTTTTACGTCCAAAACATCGTTTCTGATCTGTTCTAAAAATAGTATTTTCGCTATTTATTGATGCCTATATAATTTAGTTCGTATTTTCTTCTTTTATTTATTTATTTTTTGCAAAATTAATCGAATATTATACATTAGATCATCAATATTCAGCTATCTTTTATCAAATATTTTTTCTTAGATTTACTTCTAAATTTTAGTAGAATGTTATACTAGAATTTGTTTATGTTGATTATTTTGTTTCCTTGACCTATTTTTTATTCGATAAGATATTTACGTGTCAACATCGTTTAGTACTACAGAGTTAATCTTATATATGTTATATTATAAGTTAGAGGAAAGGAAAAATAGGAGAGTAATAACTTATTGCGTTCAGATTTTCTTCGTTTTTTTTTCTTCTTCTCTTTTCTTTCTCTCTCGTTTTTGTGTTCGACTACTTGAAAGAATTATATGGACAACTTTATTCATCATTGTAGTTTATTATCGTTGCAAATTATACATATGCAAATATCTATATATTTTTACTCTACTATGTTATCGTCTTGCTTAATAGTTACACACGTGAATAATTTAAATCAACATAAATGATAAATTAAATTTTTTGTCATGCTATATTTTGAGAATAATGACTTTTTTTTACAATTGAATGAATTTGAAAAAAAGAAAATGTATCTCATTTTTCTCATCAAACATCTTTAATCATCATTCTATTTTCATTGTTTCTTCAATATTTTCTATTTATTGTTTATTTTCTGCTTTTTATCATTATAAATTAATTTTTTTTCTCACTAATTGTTCTTGGATTGCTGTCATCGATCATTCACCATTTTTTTAATCTCAATGACTTTATGCATACTTAGATATATAGACAAATGATTATTTTTTATATTTTATTTATATAAAACAGAAACATAAAGATAAAATGTCAAAGAAAAAAAGTGACTGACATTAATTTATAAAGAAAAACACAAAAAAAGAAACAGAATGATTACTACAAGTGTTCAATGTCAAATTCAGAATAATTGTATTGAGGTATTAAAAACTAACAAAGAAGTAAATAAATGTCACTTAGGAAACAATATTTATCTTTTATATATATATATCACATAATTTTATTGTTTTTAGACAACAAAATGAATGTGGGTTATTTTTTAATAGAAACATAGATCTTCAATACTAGAAAAATAATTCTCACATCTATATTTCTATGTGGACAATTGTTTTCTTCTTTCATGATTATCACGGAGTTAAGATTAAGTTAGAGGTTAATTCTCACATAAACTATTGTTTAATTAGTCAATATTAGTCTTGTCAATATACTTGAGAATAGATTAAATGAGTTTTCTATTATCAGTCTGGATAAAATATATTTTTTTGTTTTTTATTAGGTATTACGTCAACACTGGAAACAAATTTTACAAATATTCAATAAATCGTTAATCGATCAAGATGATACTACATGTGTTATTAATCATTTTCAATATATGGTACAATTACTTACCGATGAAGTCTGTACAGAAGAACGTCCTGGACCCGTTCTATTACATTTTGTGTCTGAATCAATATTTGACACATTTTTTATTTGGTCATTAAGTTGTCCTGAATATGCACATGAATTAAAATATCATCAATTACGATTTTTTGAATATTTATTAAGTCGTTCAAGACATGAACTTTTATTTCATAAACAAATAGTGAGTGTATCATATCTATTAAATATTATTTCTATTATTGTTGTTGTTATTATTGTTTTTTTTATTTTAAGTTTAAACCATTATTAAATTTATTGAAATCTTGTGAGTCATCATCATGCATTGATTTAATCGAAAAACATATGATCGTTGTACTAAATCAAGTAAGCATTGATATATATATATTATCAAGATATTAATAAAAAATGAAATATAATTATTTCTAAATAATATTTTCATTTAAGGTTTGTGTTAGTATAACAAAAAATACATCATTGTTAGAATTATGTTTTGATATTAGTGCAGAACAAGGTCCAGCTAGATTTATTATATTTTCATTATTAATTCCATTTGTTCATCGAGCTGAATTAACAGGTAAGAAAATAAAATTAAATATATATTTTATTCTATGTCATGTATCACTGATAAGTTATTGTATCCATCTTAAAATTGAAGTGAAAGAAAAAATGTTTTAACTTTGATCAGTTCATACTTTTTCTAGTGTATGAATTCTTGTGGAAAAGAATAACTTTTAAAATATTTCTAAATATTGCAGCTATAGAGAGAGAGAGAGAGAGAGAGAGTGAGAGAACGATAGTGAATATGTTTGTCGAGTTATTTCTACTCAACATCGGAATATAGATGTTTGTGTTTTAAGATGGGTCACCGTCGCAGGGAATAACAACAGGTGCGAAATTAAACGCATGTTTGTTAAAAAAATAAGACATATTATCGCATGCTTTTTTTTTGTGATTGTTGATTTGTATTTTTCTTGTTTCATTTATTTTGTGTGTAGTTTTTCGCATAATTACTTTTTTAGCTAACTGAAATAACAATGTGATGAAAAATATTTTGTGTGTTTTTCTTTTAAAATGCACGATTTATAACTTATCCATATCCTTTATATCTGTATGTTTATAAACTATTGTTTTAAATGTTTTATATAGGACAACAAGCAAGAGATGCACTTTTACTTATTATGCAATTGTCAAATAGAAATGAACATATTGCCAAATATATTGTGGAAAATACAAGTTTTTGTCCAGTAAGTTCAAAAAAAACAATGAAAAATACATACACAAATTCTATTTTCATATGTAAACTATTTTATTTTAGATCTTGGCTACTGGATTAAGTGCATTATACTCAGATTTACCACATCGTCTACCATTGTATAGTGATGATTGGTATCATTTAACGAAAAAAGAATGGTCTGAAATGCCATCATTAGTCCAATTTATGAATTCATTACAATTTTGTAATGATGTTATACAAGTATAGAAATAATTTTACTATTATTTTTATTTTTCAATATTTAAAAATTTATATTTTAAAGATTGCCCATCCATCAATTGGTCATCATTTAATACAATATGTTTATCATGGATTTCTTGTTCCCGTACTTGGACCAGCTATTCATCAAGTATGAAAGATTTTTCTATTTTTATCTAGCATTAACTCGAGAGATTAGAAAAGTTGCGGTGGCTGCATGTCAATAGTGCTTTTGCATTATATTTTTCTTATTCTCTCAAAAGCATTTGTGTATACAAATTTCTTATATTTAATATTCTTGTATACAGTTCTTGTATCTAGACATCATCAAATAACAGCCACAAAATATCAGGTCTCATTTTATTCTCTTTTCCTTTTACTTTAGAAAAACACTATTTGATAGGGATCAGAAATTTAATTCATTCTATCTCACTATGACTATTCATGCATGTGTGTTTTTCGATCAAATCTTTGTTAGATGAAATATTTATTTATTTTTTGATATTCAAATATTTTACCATAGTTTTGTTTTGTATTTTGTTCAACTATACAACGGAACGTCAAGAGTTTCTATTTTGTAGAAGAATAAAAAAAAAACTCGAACATCGCATCCTTTGACAGTCCACTTTTTTTGTTTTTTTTGCATTTAACTTTGCCTTTTTTCAGTTTGAACTCGATAAAATTCAACAGAAACTTTTATAAAAGATAGCTCAGATATATTTTCTTACAGTTTAGCTTTGATACAAAAAAACAAATTGCCAAAAAATTAATTTTAGAGATTGTCTAAATCTCTTTTCGGAATAATATTTTTATTCAACTTTAATTTTACAGTTTATTATCTTTATTTTGTTATTATTATGACTAGCATTGTACGCTTTGTATTTGTTATTGATTATCAATTAGTGTCTTCAGATATATTATTTTCTTTTTGGCATCAATGGATGTTTTATTTCTTAGGAAATTCATGCTATGCCGGCGAAATTCTTAGAATTGCAACAGTTTTCGGTAAATATTTTCTGAATACACATTAAATTGTCTATGCCTATGAGACATTTTAATCTGTATTCCTAATAGTTTATAATCGATAGATTGATTGCTAAATGTATTTTGTGTGCGTATCTATTTTTTAATATCTTATGCATTAAACAGTTTTTAGTTTTAGTGATTAGATCGATAGTTAAAAAAAAAATTAACAATAAAAACTTAATTTTGTTTGATATGTTTTTTCCTCCTCTTTCTTGCTATTTTTATTTATTCAAACATTTTTAAAAATTTTCTTACATAAACAAAAAATACCTTTTGTCATTTTGTTTTTGACAAAGTAGGGCATTCTCTCTAGGAACTTGAAAGCTCTCTATATCAGTGTTTTTTGAAGAATGATATCATACGGTCATGATTACTGCTAAAAATACTTCTGATGGTAAAATACTATAAATTATTTGACGATGATTTTGCTATTTATTTATAATGCTAATGTTTTTAAGAACAGATCAATCGATTGCGTCGCTCCATTTGAGACACATATATAAGTCTTTTTTTTTTTAATCGTCTATTGATTAAAATATGTGGGAGTATAAAAGAAAACATATAAACTCTTATTGTGATTTGATACCTTTGTTAATCGTCCTAAAGAGTAATATATATAGTTTGAGTAGTGTTTCTTTAATTTACAATTATTAGCTTATTCAAATATTTGTAAAATTTTAGCAGCAATTCTATAATAATATCTCTAATTTTTCATTTTTTTTTTCTGCACGATTTTAATTTATTAACATTATGGAATGTTTTAGCTTAATTGTGTGCATGATTTTACTGCATGAGAAATACTAATCTTATTTGTAGAAATTTAACAAGAATAAAATTTCTTGTGATTGATGAATTTTTTTGTGTTTTTTTTTATTTTTTATTTTATTTTTGTTCTAGAACACAATGGATGAAGTTGTTGCAGCAACAGCTTATCTTGATTTATTTTTACGTACAATTAGTGAACCAGCTTTATTAAGAGTATTTTTACGATTTATTCTTTGTGCACGAATTGATGAAATAAGTCTTTTGGATACTTTAATACAAAGAATAAATAATAATACTAAAGTATGTCTCATTTTCTTTCATGACATAAGAGTTTGTACTATAATAAATTGTTCTTATTACTTCAATTTGTTTTTTTTTAGTTATCTGTTGTTTCACTCGCTTTATTTTTTACGTTAATTAATCTCAATTGTGAAGATGTGATGTATCGTCTTATATTTATGTACGTATGTTTTATATATAAATTTTTAATTAATTTTGATTATTCATCTCGTTTGAAGGTATCTTATTCCATGCCGTCATGTTATGTGTAGTCAAAAACGATATATTGGCGATATGGAAATTTATGGAAAGAATGTCGAACGATTTTTATCATTAAGACCATCATTTCTAAATAAGAACAACTTAGCTGATTCAACATCAAAGTAAACTGAGAAATGTTTGTTACATTACTTGTATTAACTGACGTTTTGTATCTTTTTTCTTCTACAGTGAACAGTCAAAGCAGCAACAACGAGTATGTTTTGATAATACATCATACGAACGATATGAATGTTCCCTTAGTGCTTACTTAGAAGTATGTAAGATGAAATTCTTTGTTTTAAAAGAGTTAAATAGAAAACTTTTTACATTTTTAGGATGCTCATTTTTCAATTTTACGTTGTCGAATTGCTTGTCGACAATGGTCAGCTCCCTATGATGGAGAAAATCCATCACCCGATTCGATTATTGGCGATTCTGATTTAATTTCATTAGCTAGTAGTATATCATCCTTAACAGATAATACTAATCAAAGTAGTTCAAATAAAAAATTATCTAGATTAGATCATGATTTAACAAAATCGACAACAATGATGACTAAAAATGTGACATCATCAAATGATTCGGGTATTCATGAAGATGGTTTAGATACATTATCACAAACTGAAGTACAAGCATCTGTAAGGGCAACAATCGATAATAATAATACAATTACTACTGAAAATTCAAATAAAAATGAAGAAGTTGTTGTTAATGAATTTCAATTACCCTCATGGTTGGCAAATGGTGAACCCGTCCCAGATGAATTATTGAAAAATTATGCACATAAAAACGCTAAAGAATCTTTTTATCATCAAAATTCTCAGAAACATTATATATATGATACGGGCGATAATGAAGATAATGAAGAATATTACAGTAATTACTATTCATTTTCATATGTTGGAGATTTATCAAATAATGATGATACATCATCAACAAAATCTTCAATTACACCATTAAATGCACATATGTCGGATAGTATTAAAACATGTGTCGATACACTAAATGGATGTTTAGACACATTTATTACGATGAACGAACGTTTTACATCATCTATTAATAAATTTTCAGAAATACAAACAATTACTGATGAACTGTCAGATAATAATATTGATGAAAATATCATAAGGACTTTGATAAATGAACTTCTTGATACTATAGATGAACTAAATATAAAAAAAGAAGTAGTAAACGATTGTGTACTAGAACAGGAAAAAGATATTTTAACACAAAAATTACCAGCATTAATATTAGATAATTCTCTACTCTCTGAAATATGTTCAAAAGCAACAAGTTCCTATTCGTTACATGATTTTTTAACTGTACTTGATCAATCTATTGATCTAAACGGTAGTAGTCATTTTATATCATCTAAAGCACTACAATATGCTGAAGAACTTATTTGTGATATTATTCATCTATCAGATGAAATTGAAAAACAAAAAACATTAAATGGAAATGTTGATTATAAACATCAGCAAACTGATGATCAATTATTATTAACATTACCTACAGATACAAATGGTGGTATTAATCCATTTCTATCGACTACACAATCAAATTATTCAATGTATTCGTTACTTCAACAATCAGTCAGTATGGATTTATCTCAAATACAATTTATTAATGATAATAATAATCAAACAACAGCAAATAATACATCAACAATTGTCACCAGTACAATGCAAACCCAACAGCAAATAGGAATTGGAAAATTATCTGATGTTGGTAAGAAAATTAAATAATATTTTTTTTTGTTTTCAAGAAATGATATCCTCTCATGTTTAAGGACCATTTCTACGAACAATATTTATTAAATTGGAAAACATGTTACAAAACTCGTTATATGTCAATTTACTTTTAACCGGTATTATAGCTCGATTAGCTTACTATTCTCAACCATTGTTAAGATCATTATTGCTCAATCATAGTCTTGTTCTTGAAACAAATGTCAAATCGTTATTTCAAGTATGAAAGACTGATCATTGATGCATATTTATTTTAATATCTTTTCTTCTCTTTTTTTTTAAAGATATTATCAAATTTAAAATCAAAACTTGAATCAACATCTCAAACGTTTAATGATTTTTCTTATCTCGTTGAACAAGCACATGATTGTTTATATAAAAGAGAAACAAGTGCTAAAGTACGTCGTTACAATGAGCTATTACATACTTATTTCAATTTTTTCTTATTTTTATCTAGGAATTTGAAGATTTACAAAGGCGTACACGATCAAAATCAGCTGATCCATTAAAAGGTATTTATCTGTTGTGTTTTTTTTCTTTTTTTATATTTTGTATTGAAGTGATAGTAATCGGGGAGGTCTGTTTCTAAATATTTTTTCGTTTACAGAGGATGAAAACGCTTACGTTACGACAGAGACGTCGACATCAAAAGGTTGATCGTTTTTTCTTGCTCTCTTTTTCATGTTGTGTAATTGCCCGAATATTATTTGCATGAAAATAAAATTTTTGTTAAGATTTTCCATTGCATGCTAAAAATTAAAATAAACATATTTTTGTCAATATTTTATTTAAGATTTTCCTTTTCTTATTTAGAACGTGGATCACGTCGAAGTCGTATACTTGATTTTTTCCGTCGTGGTCGACCAAATGACAAATCTGGAGGAAAACCTTTGTTGGATCAATCACATGTCACATTAGTAAATAAAGCAGCAATGAAGTATGTAACATTTGGTGTGCTTGAAGTATTTTTTTTATCTGTTCACTTGACTCTCTACTCTTTTATTTATTTTTAGCTCTATGAATCATAGTAAATTCTTCTCTGAATATTGTGCTTCGCTAAGCATTCAAATATTGTATGCTTTTTAGTAAAACTTCTGATAGAACTAAGATTATTGAAAGGGATAAAGAATTCTGGAAAGAGAGCATATTTTTTATATACTTATGACGCTTACGTACGCAATCACTTGACTAGTGACCTTAATAAGTCGTGCCATAAAAACGATATTATCCCCATAACTGTAATAAAGTCATTGATATAAGACGTTGTAGGAGGGAACGGCTTTAGATAGACATTATATATATGTAAGTCTTACGTTTAGTAAGGTTAATGTGATCACTTGAGATGGAACAGACGCATGAATTTGAATAGACCAGACGAGATGTATCGAATACCTGGAATATGAGCAAAAAAAATTTGAGCAAAAAATTAGTTAAGCAACAGGAGTTTGAGCAAAATTACTTTTAGCAAAAAATTGATGAACAAATTAAAAATGAACAAAAAAGTGAATATCAGATTGTATGTGTGTCATTTTTATAATAGAACTAACTGTAGCCATTATTCCCAGCAGTTGATAAGTATTGTTCGATGCCTCATCATTTAGTAAAAGATGACATATCATTTTGAGGAAGAAAACGATGCTGAAACAAAACTAGAGACTCAACCTTCCAAGTAGTATTAATGAATTGATATGAAATGATTAATGAGTTGAAATTAAATCAATTTAAAAGTTGAAATAAATTTTTTGCTATCTATATCTTTTTGCTCATATTCGAGGTTACCGATGCATCCAGACGCCTACGGTTGTCATATCCGATAATTCAATATTCTTTTTATCTTATTGTCAACTATTCTTATCTTTATCCTCCATTATCGAATTTTTTATTATTTACCTTAGATTCGTTAATGTTCGTGATGTAGTATTATCATCAGCCAATACATCATCAACAACCACGAACGAATGGGATGATCCAAAAACGAGAAATGTTGCTTATTGTGCTGTGATATTCAATGAATTTTTGAAAGAATTGGCAGCTATTGCTCAAGAACATGCTGTTCAGCAGTTTGATGATGGCTCATTTTGTTTCACATTTTGATTTATATGGATATATATATATATATATATAGCATAATATATTTACATGTATATTTTTGTTTTTAAAGTCATTTGTTGTTTTTATTTGTTTCTGTATTTACATTTGAGTTATTTCTGATACATGTGCAAAACATAATGTCTATTTATGCATTTCGATAAGAAAATAATTTTTTTACTCATGCCACTTGAATGTTTTCTTTTTTGTTTACTGTCTTCACTACCCATCCATCATCACAAATTCACGATTTTTTCCTGTGCAGATTTTCTTTTTTATATATATATATATATTTTTTTTTTGTGGACGTTGAGAACGCCAATCATTTTTATTTTAATTAACGTTTTTGGTGCTCTCAACGTGCTTTACTTGACTAGCCTACGTAATTCCTTGTAGTCATTTTCAAAAAAAGTTTTTGATCTGAACAACATTTTTGAAATTGAAATTTAGGCTCTATGTTGGCAGATCTGTTATTTTTCTATACCCTTAAGTATTCGATTAGTAGAATTTTCACTAAAAAACAGAAAATATTCTTTTTTTTGTGTGTATTGAAGCCCTTTCTCTTTGCACAACATCGTAACTATTTAGTTGATAAACTAACCGGCGCTAATTATACCATATAAACTGAAAAAGAAACTGGTATTATCAGACTAGATAGAGTTCAAATGAGTGTATAATCTCCTTCGTTAGCAGTTACCATCATTCAACTAGTAAACTAGATGCAATACAAATCTCATTCTTGTTGAATGAATTTTTCAATAAAATTATTTTTTTTTTTGATCATTTTCAGCTTTAACTACTGTACTCGAATGTTAATTTCTTATTTGAATTACTTCGAAATGTTTTTCATTATGCATAAGTCAAAACAATCTCTATTCTTTATTAATCTTTTTGTTTTTTTTTGTGTCCTGCCTGTTTCTATATCATCAAGTAAACATTTTTTTATTTTATTTTGTTTTGTTTTTTTCTATTTAAATGAATGTCGATGTAATTTATCAAACTTCTACATGTGAGTGTTTTTCTATATGTCGTTTTATCTAAAATTTTGAAGTATCAAAATGATCTATTGATAATAATAAAATATTTTTTTATAATCTATCGTAGGAGAAAGTGAGTACGATTGGTGACGTCTAGCAAGCAACACTACGTTATTGTTTAAACATAAATAATTCGAAGTAGTTATTGATCATTATAACATGACATTTTGTCCCGTAGATAGTTTTCAATCTATTATAGCAAAAAAAAGTTTACATATAATAAATATAATTGACAAAAATTTAACGAGATTCAGAAAGATACAGTATTGTTATTTTAGCATAAGTTAGTGGAAATTGGTAATATTTTTAATATCATTTGAATAACAACTCGATTGATTTGTTATTAACTTTAATGTTTCTTCTGTTTCTGTTGATAATGTACTGTCACATTCATTTTGAAATATTTCTAATAATTGCTCAATATCATCTGGATATGTACCGGATTTATTATTGTCTAATTTAATTAATTTACAGTCATCTACAATTGTATGCATCTGGATGATGTTATCAAATGGCATTAGTGTTTGTTCACACGAATCATCAAATAAAATTTCATTTGAATTGGGTGGCGTTAAAGCATAATAGGACGCAGGAACTGTTGATGTTGTAGATGTTTGTAACAGAGGAGGTGCTAAGGATGTATTATTAAATGGCGACGAGCAGATATAATTGTTATAACATGAATTCTCTTGTGGATAATAATTTTCTTTTTGTGACGTACATTGATCATAGTAAAATCGTTTTTTAACATAATCTATACAACAATAGGGATCATTATAATATTCTTTACGCTTTTTATCATTTTTATGCAAGGCTGGCGAATTGTTGGTCTTATAAGCGGATGCTATTGACGGATGATAAACATATTGATGTTCATAATTGTAACCAGAATTATACGCATCTATTCTAGATATTGCACGATATTGTTCCGCTAAACGTTGTTGCTGTTTGTTCACATCACCTGTTAATAACAAAGTAGATACAGATGGTAGAAACGACTGTTCAGTTTTTTATGGTGCATTACAACAATTTTTTTTCAATCTTTGATGAAACAGCATTAACTAACTATCGTTTCGGTATTATACTTGTGCTCTTTCTTGATCTATTCATTATCCTTTACACCCGCCGATCCCCTCCAAGGGACATTGATGTGATAGGTTTATAAAAAGAATGGATCATTAGCTCAAAAGATAAATTTTTTTCTAAGCTAAAACGATCAATAACTTTACGTTTCATTGAAATAAAAAAGAAAAATTTTACATTTCAGTTCAGTGGATATTTCAGCTGAAGCTATAATAAAAGTGTCTTAGGGTGTAAAAGGTTAAACTAATGAGAGAATATTACAAACTATGATCCGAGATTTTGAATGGTATATATTCTGATAGAGAGATTTAATGTGCTGAGTACAGTGGTGCAAACCGTTCGTATCCATAGCATTTATTCACGGTGCTAGCTCACTTTTATGTTTTAAAAGATTACTTAGAGGTATGCAAAGAAAGATGTGTATCTCTGCCAGGAAACAGTTTGAAAAGATTCTGTTTTTACCGTTCGATGCACCGCCCTGAACTACATATTTCCATATGCAAAAGTCAGATTTAGATATAAAGACGCCAAGACGCAGGACATCAACTAGTATGTATAGGGTCGTCACTAGTGGAAACCCGCTTTTAGGATTACTCAAAATTTTATATGCGGTAATATACTGTACTTAGTTAGGAGTTGGTTCTATGATACATGGGATTTGAATGAGAAAACGAAAATTTACTTTTTTAACTTTTCGAGCAGCAATGGGCAGGTGTTCCACGATTTTTATTTTTCCAAAGCATTTTTATCATAATCTGATCACAGATCCCGAAGTAAAAACGCTTCAAATGCTATGTGTTTCTACTATGTACAAAATAGGTTTCTCAGAGAAAAGGAGGCAAAACAGAAACTAGTTTTTATTTTTTCAGTATCGTCCAGTAAGACTTGATAAACGTACCCAACGATCACAGGTTAAACAGGGATGTCATATATCATTTCAAAGAAAATTTTATTCTGCAGAAAATACACCATTCAATTACTCTTCAACAAAAACAGATTTTCACTAGTGACGATCCTATACATACTAGTTGATGTCATGCGTCTTGGCGTCTTTATATCTAAATCTGACTTTTGCATATGGAAATATGCAGTTCAATGCGGTGCATCGAACGGTAAAAACAGAATCTTTTCAAACTGTTTCCTGGCAGAGATACACATCTTTCTTTGCATACCTCTAAGTAATCTTTTAAAACATAAAAGTGAGCTAGCACCGTGAATAAATGCTATGGATACGAACGGTTTGCACCACTGTACTCAGCACATTAAATCTCTCTATCAGAATATATACCATTCAAAATCTCGGGTCACGGTTTGTAACGTTCCCTCGTTAGTTTGGAATTGAGTGTCGTGGTAAACGTTCAAAGATTTACCCCATTAATGCTACATTAAAATTTTAGTTTCGACCAGAAATTGAATCCGAGTAATATCGGATTTCGAAGTCAACGTTTTAATCTCTGAGCTATAAAGCACGATGTAATTATGTACTCTTTGCTTGTCAGAAAAGTATGTGCGTTAAGAGTCATGTAAAGTGTTCATGTTTCGTCGAAAAGATCAAAGCTGCTTACACTCACGTCAAAGCATGCTTCGACGAAACGAGAACCCACCATATAAAGTCCCGTTTCTCTTTCTACCTATCGTATTTTCACGGCAATGATAGCGGTCTCATTGATTTAATTTAGCGTTCTATGAGCTCAATTATTGATGTTTTTACATGTGTAAAAGAAAAGTGCTTCTTCTGTTTGCGCATCAGTTATGCTTCATTACAAAAATCATAAAATGATTTTTCTGAGAGTGATATATACTTAGTTTTTATTGAGCTTAGTATAGTTTTAGTATCAATCCTTTTCATTTTTCATTTTGCACTTACAGTATGCTAATGCTTCTTGATTAATTCTTGATCCACTAGTTTTACGTGATTTTGTTTTTACATTATTTTGAAACGACGTTTGCTCTTTCCATTGTACTAGCCAACTTAAATCGGTTAGATCATCATCAATAAATTTGGAATTTTTATTTTTAACTATTTTATCCAACATTTTACGGAAGATAGACGTTTCAAAAATTAAAAGTAATGAAAACGATATTTGAAATGTCGTTGTACTTTTATAGTTATAATGTTTATCGATGACACACCTTCTATAATGAACTCAATTTGGCGTGAGATATGTCATTATCGAGACGATATATACAAAGATAACAGTGCAAGATAAGGATATCAAAATATTGGTGGTCTACATAATTATGTAATTTTTTTATCTTAAAAAAACCTCGTCATCAATGTTCATCATACAAGTTTAACTGAAGCTATCGGATTAGAAAATGTTAACAAATATTACATTATGCCAATATTTTGACACTATTGTTGTTGTTAAGGAAAAAAGAAATGGAATGTCTTTTCTAAGAATGCTCAGTATTCAAGAGAGTAAAGAGTGTTTTTTGAACTGAAGAAAACAATAACATCAAACGTTTGGGATGTTGTGAAGGTAATAAGCTAGAAAACCTCGTTTCTTATTGAGATAGAGCAGTAGGTAATTTGATTTTATTCCAGCCAGCATTACATCATCTGCAAGGTGCTATGTTCTGGCTTGATAGAGTTTGTGGTTCGATGAAAAATTAGTACAATCACAAGGTTACAAGGTTTCAAAAAACTATGTGCGGTGCATGATTTTCTAAGCGGAGGAAGTCATGACGTGGCATGTTGCTTTATACATCAAATGAATGAGAAGCTCGAGCACTGTAAATTCCGACATGAACAAGATACTATTCAAGTCATTACGATTGAGCGCAAGGGTCGCGAAATGGCTTTATAAGAGAAAACAGCATTCTTTTAGTGCGGCAGCAGTGATGTGCATGTGTACGACTTTTCATACGGGGATCCGTAAACTTTGTAATCGTAGTCGAGACTTTTGTACCTCGTACGGATTGGATTATACACCTCTGGCCGGTAGCTTTTCTAGTTCTCAAGTGGTGACATATTCTTTTTAAGCTACTTTTCAAATAGAGGTAACTTGTAACCCCGATAGAATTGAAACGGTCCGAAATTTTTACTTATTTTCGTGAAAATAGCAGAACTCGACACGATCTAGCTGAAGCACCTATTATTAAGTACGAGCAAAGTCGCTTTCACGGTTAGTCAGCGATCCAAAGTGCGAAAGATATGTAGGCGCGAATTTTGAGTGTTCGATCGTCTTTTCAATGAATTTCGATTTCTAATAGACATGAATCAGTTATCCAGACGCGAAAAAGTATTGTTTAGGCCTGGTTTTTTTCTTCTTTAGGGTTTCTACGCAAAATTTATTGGAGTATGAGTGCAACTAATGCTCTAGTACCACATGTTTTTTCCATTTTTCTTCTTCGGGCTAAAATACAAAAGAAACCTAACAGATGAAAATTGCCATGAAGATCACAATTTTGGATAGCAGCATATTCTAGGCTACAGATACATAAAGTGGTCGCTTTCTGGAAACAATAGAATAAGAATGGATGATAGGGGGGTGCAGCTGTACTAGAAAAAGCTATATCAACAAAGAATTTAGTCTTTGTCACTACTATCTCCGGCACTTTTTATAATGCCTATAGAGTAGACTAAGGTAATTATAACCGGGTACAAACTTTTTTTCAGTATTTTGCGAATGGTAAAGCCATTTTAGTCGGAGAAAAATGCTATTACACAGGTAGATACATATGGCTTCCAGCTATCCGCTGATGTAAAAATTGTCTGAAAATTCATTACTGTTGCCATTCAATTTCCAGTGCGTTGCTCTTAACTGGTTACAATTCCCCCATTTGGGGTAATTATAACCAGTCAACGTATACCGTTGGAGTAATTATAACCATCACAGCAAAAATGGGAAAAATGAGAGATTAGTAAAATCAAAAGAAACGGTCATTTTGTTCGATACGGGAATTGAGATAATTATAATATAACCACTTCGTACAAATCACACGGAATAAACAAAAAACAACTTTCACCGTCTCTCAGAGGCTGATTTTGATAGTATGCGAAATGGTAAAATTATTCAGAATCTTAAACTGTGCCACATATGCAGCAAAAGTCGACAAAAAATGGGTGAGAAGTAACCTTAAAAACATCTCCAAGACTTTTAACTTTTCAAATAGCAGAAGTAAAGGATCTGACTGACCAAGCTCTCAGAACAGTAGACTGAAAAGAAGAAAGTTCCGACTATCAGATTCTTCAGAATCGCATCTTTCTGCCATAGAAATTTGCACAAAAACGACTGAAAATGGACTATAATAGAATATCTTGAAAGACAAAACGTTTTTGCAAGAAACCATGTCGGATTGAGGCAAAGAAACGTTTGCAAGCGATAACTGTCAAGGTTAGACTCACTCCTCCGAAATGGGACGTCACACAGATTGGACATGCACTTGAATAGCGGCTAATTGCGAGAACAGTCCTCAAGCTCAATTTTACCGTTGAAATATCCTCGTCGAACAACATATCACTTTTAGTTTATAAAGTGACTAAGATCAAAAGTCATGCGGTTATTTCAAATCAGTGGATAGCTGGAAGCTATATGTATCTGCCTATGTAATAGCATTTTCTCCAACTAAAAATGGCTTTATCATTCGCAAAATACTGAGAAATAGTTTGTGCCTGGTTATAAATATCTCAGTCTACTCTATTTTGTTTTTGCTAATTTAAGTTTGTCATCATCGCGTGTTTGTTTTATTTTTCTTGGTCTTGTTCTTGTTCATAACGACTCATAACAGATTTTTCAGATGAACGAACATTAATCCATGTCCAGAGATCTGCATTCGTTCACACGCTTGCATTTAGTTATCTATGTATGATAACTAAATATAGGCATTAGTCTTTTTAGTATAGCTACGTGTTATTCGTAAATATATAGTCACCAATTTTTATTGTATACACCTGGAAAAAAATAGTTGCACACAGTTTTTTCAAGATATTTTCCTTATAAAGATCTACTTTTACAAAATAATCCCGTATTCTGATAATGACTATGCACAGAGATATCATCCTAATTTCCAATAAAAGTTGAAAAATATTTCGTTAAACCATAGAATGCAATACTTAGAAGTGTGACACGTGGGTACATTAAAATATTTGAAGAATTTATCGGCAAACAAATGCACTTTAAGGCAGGTAAAGTACAGGGTGATAGAGGATTTCAAGCGCTAATAGAATAAGTAATTACTTTTGTAAAAAGGTATCTCCTTATTCATAATAACTTTAAAAAACGAATGAAAAAGGAAGAAAAAATGGAATTTGTGGAAATCTGAGGACGAGGGTCTCTTCATTGTACTCGAAATATTTTTCAGCAAATAAGTGTAAGCCCAGACATTTATATACAAGATGATAGAGAATTTCGAGCTTTATCAGAATACGAGATTATTTTGTAAAAGTAGATCTTTATAAGAAAGGAATATCCTTAAAAACCTGTGTGCAACTATGTTTTGCCAGGCGTATATATGTTTTTACTTCTGTTATTTCTAGAAAGCGATCAATTAATATATCTGTATTTCAAATTACGATTGTTCATTACTCATTAATTAAAAGTGGTCGCTTTTTAGAAACACAAACGAATGTAACTTCTGCTCGTTCCAATTAGTAATCACTTTTAGACTAATTGATTTAAATTCTGGTAGCATTTGGGAAGTAGCCATTATATACTTTAAAAAGAGAAAAATGTGCTAAACTCAAGTAGATAAACAAAAGAACATTTAACGTGCACTAAACTTCTGCTATTCGATTCCGACTATAGCTACAAAGTCATTATTTTTTCCAATTTTGGTTTGATTATTCAAAAATAATTGATACTTACGGGCGTTTTAGAAATTTCCTGAGATTTTATTAAAGCGATAGTTTTTTTATTCTGTTAAAACGATAGTTTTTTTATTTTGTGCTATTCGCATTTGTCTATGTTATGTTTCTTCAGATAGCCAAGTACAATGCTTTGCGATTCTTGACTATCTGTGATGCTTATTACACGTGACTAATAAATATAGATTAAACTAAACCAATTTCCTGAGACCTATTTGAGAACGAAATTAAATAATTTGAAAAACCGATTAGCAACAGTCTAGCGTCCAGAAAAGCCATATACGAGGAGCCATACAGAAGGAGCATTTTACCTATTAACAACAGCAGTCTGTTTAAATTGAATTGTGAATGCTAGACTTATGCAGTAGAAGAAGATTAGAAATGAATTAGCCTAACTAGAAGTACCCTTAATATTAATCGACGTTTGAGCAACTGATAGTTGAGCGATCTCTTGTACAACCATACACATACATTGTGCTACAATTTTGGGCTTCTTCGAACTCATTTGGCTGTTTCAATTATAACTGTGGTTGTTCAGAATGAGTTTGTGTACTTGAGATTTTCTTGCTATTCTGACAATGTATAAAACTAAGTTTCATCTCATAGATTTTCAGCTTTGAATTGTTCTCTTTTTACTCACTCTCACTATCCTCACCTTTCCTCGCTCCAAGACGAGAAGCACAAAATCTATCCAATTTTATTGATCGTAAGAAACGTCACATGGAGAAGCGTCAATTGTCATGGTTGACGACGACTCTGACGTGCATGTTAATCAAATCATTCACTATATCTAGTCTTTAAGTATTTGATAACGAGAGTAGATTTCTATATTCTCTTTCTATGTATTTTTAGACCTCTTCCATGCAGTTTTTCTCACGTTTAACATGACCAAAAGTCAATAAAACCTCATTATGCTTTGTGTGGTGTAGGTGTCGTCGAGTAGTATATAAATCCATAGCTGATTTGTTGTACGGAACCAGATTCTTCCGTTATCACAAAATTCGATATATTGAGCCTACAAAAGCTCAACTTTTATTTCGAACAAACATTTTGGAATATATATGTCGGAGTTCAGATTAATATACAGTTGAGTTTAAAACTAAACTAGTTCAGATCGAAATTTTATTAAAAACTAGGTGAAATCAAAATTTAAGTCTGAACGAGTTCGTTTTAAAACTCGTTTCAAAATCAACTAGTACATTTTAGAATTTTAATTTCTTCTTTTTTGAAAATTTCGATCTGAGCGAATTCAATTTTAAACTCAACGAGATTTTAATCTGAACTCCGACATATATTTTTGAGGACAAGTTTATTGTCTAGTAAACCAGATGGATGTGAGCATGTAATGTGTTAAAATCTGTTTTAATTCCATTGAGATGTGATATTATTTAACAATTATCCTTTGATATTGAGAATAACAAATTCAATAATAATCATATTAGATAGAGGTTGTTTTCTGTTTTAATTTTGCTAGAAGATGAACATTTCATACCACAAACCATCAAAATGGTAATTTCATTTGCTATAATATTGTACATTTATTAAACAATATAAAACATTAAAAATTTCAGTAAAACACATACAAAGTGAGAAACAATTCAGCGAATAATCTGTTCCAGTATGTCTGATCCCTTATTAGCAGTCATAAAACACAAAACAACATATAGAATAAAAGAAGTTCATCATTATTTAGTTATTATTTTCTAACGTTTATTTGCTTGTATAAATTCATCGAATGTAACTAGTCCATCTTTGTCAGAGTCAATATCAGCAAACTTCTTTGCTATATCCGATTCGTTCATATTACCTTTGCTTTCTCTTGAATGATATGCTTTAAATTCTGCAAGCGTAATAAACCCATCTTTATCCTACAAAAAAATCATAACACATTAATATCTTGTTTGAACAATGAACAAACTAATGATATCTACCTCATCAAGGCGATTGAATTGTTCACGTAGCTCAGAAACGTTTGACATTATTCTAAATCGAAGCAGCAAATTTAATTTTGTTGAAAGACAAGAAGTGCAATGTACTAATATAAACAAATCTCCGTAATAGATTTTACACAGAAAAAGAAGAAAAATGGGACGAAAGAGTTATTATAGATGTTGTGTAATGTTCTTCCGAAACTCATTAATAGAAAATACACACTAAGTATATTGCAGAGAATATCTCTCTTTTCTCTTTCTCTCTCTCTCTCTCTCTCTCTCTCTCTCTCTCTCTCTCTCTGAGGAGAAAAAGAATTCCAGTGTGAAACGGATGCTATTTAATTAAATAATATTTACAAGAACGTGAACTATATGTTATAATCGCACCTTTTTTGGTCTCTGGAAGAAAATGGGTGTAAATAGTAAAAAATTATTAGAGGCGAATTAGATACTAGAAGCTGAAATACTGCTGAGTATACGTAAAATGTTTTCAAGACACATCATTTTATTACTAGTAATTTTTACGCATTGCAGAAGTATTGTTTTGAAATGCAACTTATCCAATCATTTTCAGAAAATATGATCAATTTGACTTCGTATTATCATGATGACATTCTATCAGAACACATAATGCGAACTTTTAAGACTATTAGAACATTAAAATGCTCTAAGATTTAATTGAAACATTAGAAATTTTTGTTGTATCATGTCTCTAGAATTATAACTATTCTGAGTCTAACCAGCACAAAATCGAATAAGTTTTTGAATTTTGGTAATCACACATTAGCAGATGATATTATTGATGACAACTACAAACTGTATAGTTCAGCGATTAAAAAACAGTTTAAACAAAAATCATAAATTAGCAATTATCACTTACCTTTATGTATTTTGATACTGTATTCCTAAACCAAGTTCTTTGAAAATACTTTCTAAAGATGGAGCTCACTTAGTACGTATATCGATCTATTCAATTTTATTTTTACTTTTAAATACAAAAGTATTTTCATGATATCGAGGACAAGTCTAAGTAATATATATACATGATCATGTATATATATTACTTAGACTTGTCCTCGATATCATGAAAATACTTTTGTATTTAAAAGTAAAAATAAAATTGAATAGATCGATATACGTACTGAGACGGACTTGTCCTTTGTAAAGGAAAAATGCTCGATTTTGTAGTAAGTAAATTATTTTATGGTATTTTTAATAAAAAAGAGCTTCGTTTATATATTATTGGTAGTGCTGGTACAACACGAAGGAAATTTTTTCCTTTCCTTTTTTTTCATATTCACATTCTTTGTTTTATTCCACATATTTTATGATTTCTCTCTCGGATCTACGAGATGGAAAATGAATTCGTGAACCGGATAAGTAGATAGACTCTATATGTGACCTTGTTATCGTATGTTAGATAAGCTCTCTTAGAATTATCGTTTCTTTTTTGTTGTTGTAATGCTTGGAATTTGTCTTGCCCTCTAGATGAAATTAATTTTCACACAATAAATATATATGGTGTCATCATTTGATATAATAATTCTTTAAAAATTCCTTTATAAGAGTTATTTTTCTTTATCTGTTAATGAATTACTGAAAATCTTTTAGAAATATAAGAAAATATGAAAGAAAATTCTTCTTATACAAATATTACACACACGTAGCATAAGTAATCAACAAAAATGTACATAATTATTTGATTCAGTTCTCAGTTTTCACGTTTCATATTTCACTAACTTTCAATCATCAAAACGGTTTGAACTCTATTAGTTGATTAACTTAACTCTATTTACGCATCTTTCTTCTGTAATCAACAGAAAGTAAAAACAATTATCAATGAACATTATTAAAAACTATTAACATTGAATTTCTAATCATAGTATGTAAGATAAAGATATGATTAAAACTGAGAAGTTTTATTGACGTGATTAGAATAAAAACTGAAGTTTCTCTTAACATTTATAGAAGTTTGATGAAAATATTGACTGTTTTCTAAATCGTGCATATTCTTTTTTATGTCTTTTAAAAGTCGTTCAATTCCTTTTTGTTATTTTTTTTTATACTACTATGTTAAACTAAAAGACAGCTTAAGCCAGAAATATAATCTTGCTTAAAATTGAGCTCAATAATAAGCTCTTATTTTTTATAAAGCTAGCAAATACATTTTTTTTTTCTCATTCTTGAATTATTATTACTGTCTACATTATCAATCATGTTAACACTTGGCATATATTCCAAAATAAAAGTAAACATAGAACGACTTCTATTAACAGATTTGTCAATATACTCACTAACGAAACACTTTACATTAGATTTTGAAATGAATTGAACTCTCATACAACATTTACTAACAACTATTTGCTTGATGACCGAGGATGAAACTATAATCGACTATTATGCATCTCATAGTTTCTCTCTAATTCGTTTTTATTACATAAAAGATTCCATCTACTCGTTGACAAAATCTAGCATTCATGTTGCCTAAAAACACCTCAATGATGGTCAGGCAATGACAAAAGTTTTTTTTATTCTTATAAAAGGTGTGAATAACGATATGATTGGATTGAATATTTAAACTAATTTACTATTATCAGAGCTAATTTGAGTACTATTTTTCGTCTTTATAATTTCTTAATTAACTTGACTATTTGTACTAGTTTACAATATTATTTCAAAATGTTAATGATGTGTGTCAACAATAACATTGAGCATAAGTGTTTTATCATTACATTTCAAAAATGTCACGCACATAGTTATGATTGATGTTAATATCACGCAATAGTAGTAGCTATGTAAGAAGAAGAATGAAACAGAGCAAAAATATTAAAACTATTTTTTTCTGTTGTTTATAATAAAACACACTGTCAATTTCGGCAACAAAATAATTTATTTTCTGTTTTCTTATCAATTGAAAATATGTAGAGTGAAAACTAGTTAGAAAGACTTTAGTAACGATGTTGTAACACTTGCGAGCTATTGTCAAAGTAATATAAATAACAGAAGACAAGTCAAATAAGTTTTATAAAAATTGAATACATTGTATGATTTAACAATGCAAATAGTTCTGGTTTTTTTTAATGTTTTAGTAAAAATAAAACTTTATTAGAAAAAAAAATTAATCAAGAATATAACAGTACTGTGACATTTCACCTGTGATGAGTTGTTTCGAATTTACTTCTAGTCTTTATATTACAATCCTTAATCCGGGCTTTTCTACCGGGATGTCCCAAAATGATTGCTCGCTGTTTTTTTTGTTTGCCAATATCTCACTCCAAAAAAAATTAAAAAAATTTTAATTTTTTTTAAAAAGATGTGCTATTTAATTCTCTAAAAAAAAAGTACTTTTTTGGGCCGGGAAATACTTGAGATTGCAAATTCACAGTATTTTCTTCATACTTTCTTATTCTTAATGTATAAAGAAGTAAAATGTACAATTTGTTGTTTATAGAGAATTAAATCGAGTATGTTTTTTAAAAAAAAGTAAAATTTTATTATATTCCGGGAGTGAGATATTTAAAAACAAAACAAAAAACGAGCAATCAGGATACCCGATAAGTTTTATAATTTTTATTATCAGTAAATGGAAATTAAGTACAGTGAAGATATACTACTTTTACTCATGATCCTTGTCAAAGTCTATAGATAAGAGGAGTAGTTGAAGTATTCGATCGCAGGCAACGTATTATAATTAGTCAACTTGAAACTCATCTAGGTTAAAAATAGACTGGGTTATGATCAATTTCGTTGTTTTAGCTGAAAAAAAAAACTGTTCTGCCTTTTTCAAAAAAACGACGCAATATAGTTTGTAGAAGGCACTTTGAACTATCTCTTAATAAAAATAGTTTGAAAACATTATTTTTTCATGAAGAAAATTTTATTCTTCTTCGTATAACGGAGTGACATTCGTTACCGAGTGACGTAGTATTTTTTTGAGATTACAATTACAAAAGTGATGGAATCTTTCTAATTTGAGTAGATCTACATAATATCATACAAAACCATTCCATTATTCAGGAAAAAAATTAAAAGAACTTTCTTAAACCCTCTAAAAAGAACTGATAAAAACTTGTTTTGTTCATAAATCTGTGTTTTAGACATTATAAATTCAAAAAAAGTGATGTCGTTTGTAGACTTGAATCTAATGCACTTGTTTTCAAATTTTTAATTCAAAACATTGTAGATTAGAAAATTCAAACTTAAAAATTATTAAACTTTAAATTCAATTTTTTTCATTTAAAATTCAGTTTTCGTCCATTTTAAAGTCGATACTAGCAATCAACACAAAAACCTGTATCTAGTGATGCGTTTTTGAAGGCGATCTGAGAAAAAAGCTGTCGAAGACGTCAAGATTGCAGACAAGAATTATGCGCTCAAGGCGTTTTGTAGTGTCAGAAGTCCGATAAGATACATGTCTAATCGTCTGTATTCGAATACAAATGAAGTTTCAAAAAATATGACAAGTTTCTACTATTTAGAATAAATTCATGACTTCTACTGATTACTATTATAAGTAAAGGATGTATTGCACTTTGAAACAAAATTTCGTTTTATCGAGTTTCTTGTAAAAACGATCTATCCAAAAATGTTAATTATTTCACTCAGCACACCCTCTTGTATAAAAGAAAATGTCAACCAGTCATTTTAGAAGGTTAAAAATGCTACTTATTGAAACGTACGTTCCAACAGCAGAAAGTTTGTGTAGAACATAATTATATTTAAGGACCATTTCATCTATGCCACGGCTTCCATAGTGGTATTCCCGTTCCATTCTTGCTGAGATCTGTCCGCGAACGCGATGTTTTCCCGTGTAACGAAGAAATGCTGATCTTGGCAAAATAAAATCGCGATTTTATAATTGTAATCGCGTTCTTGATCAAGTTCATTATGCCATCCCGTTCGATTTGTGATTCAAGAGTGGGACGGGATCGCGACAGGATTATAGCAAGTTCGTGGGTAATTCGCGACAAGATCTTGAGGAGATTTTTCCTTGGCGCGATCTTGTCCAGATCCCGCCCGTTTCAGTCTTACCGCGAACTTTGCAGGAT